GGAGGAAGTTAGCCGAGTCCCTCCGGATAAATCCCGATGTACGTTTTCGGACCCGGTTGCAGCGGCTTGCGTTCTTCTGTACGGTTAAGAATAACAACTTGGGAAGCGAGGAGTCATTTCGGCACACGTTAAAGTTTAGAAAGCGCTGTGCTTTTTTCGTCCTCTGTTGAACGTGTGCAGGTTTTAAAGCCTTGACTCCGTACGAAGTTTTTGTAGCTAGAAATAATAGGCTTTGAAAAAGCAAACCACAAGCGCTTTAGGTCCCTCCTGTCAAAAGCAACGAAGAGTTGCTGTATTTTAAATGCTTGCTGCCTTCAAAGGTGAAAGGCTGTCTGCTGGAGTAATTGAACGGTTTTTAAAAGTGCAATTCCTTCCATAAATGAAAGGCCAAAGAGATTAATTGCTTTAGAAAAAAGGTGGGGGGGGAGGGAGAGGGAAGAGAAACTGCTAATCAAAACCAAACTATTTCCTTAGAAAAGACTTTATACAACTATTTAAAATATGTGCTAGTCTAGGAAAAATAGCTAAATGGAAAGTCAGGGTATCTTGATACCACAGGAAAGACTGGCTTGCCAAGAATATCTCCAGAGTTCCCTCAATCTAAAAGTATCCTGTACTGCTTTGATTGTTGTGTTTACTTTGTGCAGCCCATCTTCTGTGCTGTGCTCTGTGTGAAGCAGTAGTGCACCTGGTATAGATTGTGGTTAGCAGAAGAGGGAGAAAATTCCTTTTTTTTCCTCTCTCTCTTTTTCTTTTTTTTTCTTTTTTCTATTCCTTGGCAGAGCTCAATTCAGGACTGGGGTGAAGAGGTAGAAGAGGGAGCTGTTTACCATGTCACCCTTAAGAGAGTCCAGATTCAGCAGGCTGCCAATAAAGGAGCAAGATGGCTAGGGGTAAGTAAAGCTGGCACAGCGGCGTTTTGGAAGACTGCTCCTGGACTTTGGAGCCTGCTCTAAGGAGCTGAATTCCACAAGAATAGCTATGATATTAACTTTTAGCACTGACTAGTTTCACCATTTAAAAAAAAAAAAAAGAAGAAAAAGAACTTGCCTGTATTATTCGAAAGAACTCTCTTCTTGTGTTAACTCTTCCTCTTTTGCTGATATGCAAAGCAAGGATTTGACCAATTGTGGCGATACTTAATGGAGAAATAAGGATCTTAGTTTATGACCTGATCCGAAAGTTGAGTATTTAACAGTTATTTCAGAGTGGGCTGTGTCTCATCTCTAATGCTAGGAATCTGTCTCAGGTGGCCCAAAAAATCAGTCATGATATTTTGTGTAACAAGGCTCTCTTCAAAGTTAGTAGAAAATTTCCTCAAAACTTAAGAAAATATAGATTTGGCCCTTATCTCCTTATTGCTTTCTCAGCCAGATGGAGCGTTTGTCTTCCCTTGTAATTGTCTGCATTTCTGCCAGAAGTGTTGCTGTATGCCGTGTTTCAAAGGTATATTTCAAAGCATGAATGCTTTAGTGGTGGATGCAGTAAGTTTTAACACACGTGTACTTAATTTGGCATGCCACTAAGTGCCTTCACCTTTGTCAGACTAAGTCCGCAGCTGATCTACAATGTCCCCACTTCACTGAAATCAGTGGAGCTGTGGCAGTTTGAGCTGCATCTTCAGAAGGTGGCTATGGCTTTCATATTATTTTGCTATGTTTATAAATTTTCTTCAGGATCAAAGGCAACACTGTGAGAGCTTGGTTTAATGTAGTATCCAGGTCAGTATTTTAAAGACTCTTAAAACTACCCTGAGACTTTATATCAAATAGAGTTCTTGTTAAGTTCCATGACATAAAGCAGTACGGCAGTGCTGAAACCACAGTCAAGAAAGATAAGCAAATGTTGTCCTGCATGCAGATAGCGCTTAGAGTTTTTTCCTTTCCCTATTTCCAAGAAGTACATAGAGTTCTAATCAGAACACATAATTTCAAATCTGCTTCCTTTGAGTGGCAGATTTCCCATCTCTGCCTCCTGTTTATAGCAGGATTGGGGGAAAAAATACTAGAATGTATTTTTGAGCTCCTGTAAATTTCCCAGATGGTGGTTTTTGTAAGAGGTGGAGATCATTTTGAATGAGCCTGTTTCCTATAAATATAGTTTAGAAAAAGTGAATTTTCTTCCTGTTTTAACTGTGGTTGTTCCTTGTACATAGAATGAGTTTGCTAGATCTTGGTCGTGTTCTGAAAGGAAGAGTTTATGTGTGTTGCTGAGCTCATCACCACAGCTGATAGTGCTGATCTTAACAAGGGCAAGGGATTGCCAGGTCGTTGAAATGTGTTTTGGCTTTTTATGGCTAGCAGGAGCTTCTGCAGGTCAGAATCAAGCCACGTTTGTGGGGAAGGAGGCAATGTGTCCGAAGTGTGCACCTGTTCTGTGCATAAATTGGCAACTTCAGCTTCCAGGCTTGCATTTTTCAGGAGCAATAATCTCGTGCACATTATTTAAAAATATTTGTAAACCTATAGTCTTTTTGTTCCTCTTAAGCACTTCAGGACATAAAATATTTTAAGCTCTCTTTGCGGTCTTGCTTTATTAATGGCTTTACTGTGGTCTTAAAGCCAATAAATAGCCTGTAGCCCAGAACATTATTTATGAATAGGCACCTCACCAGCAATTTTGCCTTGAAAAGCAGAATTGTGTCTTTCATAATTGTCCTCAGGTGTTTTTAAGTCTGGAATGGATAGGGCTTTATGATGTTAATGTTTTTTCATTGCTTTGAAATTCATAGCACTGCATTAAAAAACTGTTGGATTTATCAATGCTGGTCTTGCTTTTCTTTTTGATGCTGCTCTAAGTCATGCTTGGGTTAAAGATTCAAGGTCAAATTAAGAGTATGGGAATAATGCATTTATATCAGCAATTTAAACAAACATGGTAACTCTGTTGTGATGTTTGTGCATAAATTTTTTTAAGGGCTTTCAATATCCGGATGTCTGAGAACTGTCAGTTTGTATCCTATAAAGGTCCAGTTAGCAGTATGGCCTTCTTAGAGGTGTTGAATTTCTCATGGTTTATTGCAGCAGGTCAAGTTCCTTGTGACTCGAAAAGCTGAAGTCCTTTTAAAATGAAAAGCCTTGATGTTGTATGTGGATATTAAATATTGTGTGGCATTTTTCATCAGTGATGGTTTGATCTGGTGATCTCAGAACGGATAGTTTTTGGTGGTGCTGCATGTGTAAAGTACTTTGTAAACTTTTCAATTGAAAAGCAATAGATTGTAAATTATTTGATTTGGTTGAGTGTCCGAGAAAGCCGCAAATTTAACTGAAGAATTCATAGAACTTGTGTTAGAGGGAGTATATCTATTTATTTCAAGTATGTTGGGACTTATTACAAATTCATTTAGTGACTGAAAAGTTCAAAGTCTTGTGTAATTCTTTGCGGGGGGGGGGTACCTGTAAGTGAATGAACTTAGATCTTCTGTGTTGCAAGAAGTCTCAGACTTTTTTTTAAACAAAATTCTCCACCCTAACAAAGCAGTGAGGGTTCCTGAAGAATAGGCCCTGTTATGAGGGAACAGTCTATTTGAAAGCCAATCATAGGATTACAGTTTAAGCACCATAAACACTGGCCTATTTAAATATGGAAATATAGTTGTTGTGTTTCAAACTTATATAATTAAAAAAAGAAAAAAAAACCCCAAACAAACAGGCTATGACTTAAGCAGTCATCAGCAGTTTCAAACCTTTCGAAAGTGTGAAGGTTGTGTGTAAGCACCAAATTTCTCAGCTTTAAATTTAACATTAGACATGAAACGAAGCCTGTAATAGGGACTGTTTTTGTCTGTTAAACTTAGTTTATTTGGTGAAGCCTAAGACTTTAGGCGTTACAATATTACGGAAGATTAAAAGCCTTAGTAGTAGCCTGTTGCTGTGATAGGTGCTGCACAAAAGGGCTATGCTGACCAAAAAGTGCTTACAGACTGAACATCAAATGAGACTTGTCTATACGCGTATGTTGCCTCTTCTGAGGGTTGACATCAGAGGGAGTTGGTATCAGTTTAGCAGAAGCCTACTTTTTCCTCAAGTTATTTGTAAGCATCAAGGCAATGGAGAGTTTTAAGACCATTTTCAAAGCCAGTTGTTACTTTTAGAGATATTTAGAGAGCATCCCTCCCAAGCACGGTGGGCTTGACAAGAGAAAACATGAAGGTGTTTATCTGATGACGCCTTCATGTTTGAATACGTGACTGGGCATTGATGTTTCCAGGATAGACCATTCAGTGGTGGGAGGCAGGATCTTGAGAGAGATGGCAAGGAGACTGAGAACAAGCTGTCAAGGCCAGGGAAACTGAGCTATATGGCTAAACTCTGTTGTGATAGAGAAGGATGTGGATGAGAGATTTGTACAGATGGTCGGCATGGTCAAAGCAGAGGGTGAGGAGAGCACTTTCTGCAGCAGCATTTTGAATAGGATTGCACCAGGCTAGAGGAAAAGATGTATCAGTAGCTGGAATAGAAATTGTAAGAATGTAGCAAAGAATTTTACTGATGTGGCTAGAAAGGGAAGGTTGTATTTGGAAGGTGGTATTGGAAGGGTGGCAGAAGAGGACTTGTAGGATCATCAAGAAAATGATGAACATGCCTGATAATAGCCTGAAGAGTAGCCTGAATAGTTTGATTAGCTTAGCAAAATGAAGACTTAGGGAGTATATGATTAATTCCTATTTTTTTTTAAAAAATCATGAAGTAAGCACAAGGAAGGGAAAAGAACCATTTGTGCTAAAGGAGTGGGTATAAATTGTCATAAGTTAGAAGAAAGTTTCAAATCATGAGAGCAACAAGATAGTGGAGTGGCACCTCAGCAAGAGTGAAGGAAGCAAAGAACTCGGTAGCATCAACAGTGGAGTTGGTTCAGCTGGTGAAAAGGATTGTGAAATAATTTCCTTTGGTAGCGGAATGCAGCATCTTCCACTTTTATGTTTCTAAGTCAAATGGAAACGTAAGAGCAAGAAGGTGCTCCGCTAAGGGGAGGGTTGGGGTAGGTCATCAATGTGAAAATTGCATTTTTTGGGGGGGAAAGGTATGGGAGTTTGTGACAAGGCAAAAAGAGAGAACCAGCTGTATTGTTAGAGAGGCAAGCTGATGGTGAAGAGTTAGTTGTGTGTTAGATAAGTAAAGACAGAGATGAGGATGAGAGAGGAGTCCCTTCAGAGAAGAGAGAGCGCGGAGTGGGAAAATTTGGAAGCAGCAGCTCTGTGTTAAAAGTCACCCATGGTCTTATTCAGGCTGGCGAAGAAGAGGTGTAGCTGTAGAGCTTAATTAAAGGTGGATAGGTCTCAGCCTGGTGCTGGAGAGACTGCAACGTGAAGAGGAGGTGGTTGATGACTGAAGTGATTTTAGGTCTAAAGTAGATGTTCTAGAGCCAGTGAGAGGGCGGCAGGTGGGAGCGAGGGGTTTCTTATTGGCACAGCGGGGAGGGTAGGAGGTGACAGCAGTGAGGAGGGAGGATGGATGGATGGAGAGAGGAGTACCTTGTTTGGTCAAGTGTTTGAATTTGCATTGGTAAGAACAATGTGGAGAAGTGGATACAGAGGAGTAGTAGATAGAGGTGTTAGAAAATATTGGTGTGGAATTAGAGGAGCGGGAACAGTGATGGAAAAAGAAAAGATACACTACTGCAAAAAAAAATGAGTGGTGAAAGGCATGGGTGAGGCTTGGGCAGATGCACAAGATTACAAAGTGAAAAGCAAGCAGAGTTTTCAAAATGCCGTGAAGTTGCTTTGTAGACCTCCCCCTTAGCCAGCCAGAGCGCTTTATCTCACCCTTCCAGGGGTTAGGGAGGGAAGGGTGAGTGGTGTCCAGCACTCAGGGACTCTAAGGGGAAGCCAGGAGGAATGAGTGTTTGCGACTAGAAAGGCTCCCTAAGGCTTGCAAATATCTCTCCTAAC